TCAAAGCTTCCTCTACCTCCACTCTTCTTACTTCAGGATCCAGAAATTCCAAACCTGACTTCTCCAGTGTTCCCTCTGAACAGTTTGTGCTAACTGCATGTGGTTCATCTGGACCAACAGCCGAGCATCGAACATGATGTTGCTTCAACTAAAAATACACAAATTTTACATGCGATGAGGAACAATATCATGCATTGGTTACTATATCCTTAAATTAAGCCACATTTCAGCAATTGCCTTCATGGCACAGTATTAAGCCAGCACATAGAGCTTATTTCTCAAATATTATTTGACGATTGGATCCCTTGTAAATCTTGTAGTTGGACAAGCGTTCGGTGACATAAGATTTCACACAAGTTGAAGTCAACAAAAGAAACTCACCAAATAATTATAACCATGATAAAATTGATGCGACTAAAGAATCAACTAGAAAGTAGAAATATACAGGTCAGCAATCAATAAAATTCTGCTCACAGCATAAGCAGTGCTTTCATGAAGAAACTCTATGCACTTGGTCAAAAACAGGAAAACTTTCCTAGGGAGAATGACAGTAAATTCAGATGAGAAGCCAAGAGACCTGAAGTCTGTACGAGACAAGATGGAATTGGATTTGGTTTACGGTTCATTCAAATAGCAATTTTTCTGACAACATTTTAGACCTCAAAATGAGATGATAATTTACTGAAAAAAAGGTGGGGGAGGGGGGGATAAGTCCTTCCATGGATAAAGGTATCTTTTGTTTTGCATATTTAATATTTGAATTAAAAAAATAAAAATAAAAAACATGTAAGCATTTTAAGTCAAACATGGAATCCCACTAGTGTGAGTTATGGTTAGTTGGAGGTAATGTCTTGCAATGAGCACTCACTGGCACCCATAATCCAAGGTTGCAAAATAGAATCTGTTCATATGAAACTATTAATATGGAAAGCACAATCCCTGTGCAAGTTTCTGATTGAACCTAAAATCCAAGCTGAAGTTCCAGTTCCAGCATTTACAAAACAGCATCTATTGATATGAAACAACTCATACAGAAACCACGGTCCTTGTGCACATTTCTGATTAAGAATTTGGAATCCCCTCCATTAATTTATTCAGTGATTATATTAATAACCAGTTCCAAACAAGTGCAGCACCAAAATAGTTCATAACTGCATATTATGTGCCACCAGAATTCCCAAGTATTGCTTAGATGACAGGTTTCCCAAGCAACTAATCAAGAAACCGTAGTTAAAAGAAGCTTACTTACACATGCAATGTCAGGCACATTCTTTGACAATGGAAACGTTGATTTGTCTGTTGAAAACCTTGAACTAAAACTCTTCACAAATGACCCCCTTCTGCGACGGGTGTGGTTGCAGCATAGGTACACTTGATCTCTGGTTGAAGTTGCCAAAGGCCTCTGCTCCATAAGAATGAAACCTTTCTGCCTCAACATATTATTACTCATCTTAACCGATCTAGATACAACAGTTCGACCATCATTGGACCACCTTCAACCATATGAAAGTAAAAAAAAAAAAAAAGAGGTATAATGTCAGAATTAATGAACTAATACACTACCTTAGTAACTTACACGGTGCAAAGGACTCCAAGAGCATGTTATAATGTCAAAAGTACACAATATTCAAAATGAGACAATTAGTAACATCAGAATGGGAAAGTTGTTTATGAAATTTAACCCCCACCCCCAGTACACTCAAAAAACCAAAAAGGAAGGAGAAAAAGACAAGGAGAAATAGAAGCTGGTTTGAAAAAAGAAGAGGAAAGAAGAGAGGGCAATAGGGCATTACTTGACATTGACATGGACTATCCACCTAGCCCATCGACAAATTTTTTTCACAACAAGCACTCATGTTTGCTCAATCTCTTCCAAAAGTTGTTTCTTATACAAAATTGTTGTCTTACTCTCAACTCTCAGGCCTCGTATATTCTGTACTTTACCTAGGGAGGACTATATCTTGGATAACAAAAACAAGCCAACAACAAGAAATTTTGGTTATCATCCACTCTGCAGGCTACTTTGTTTCCTGGTTTAATATTATATCTAATCGGTGGAATTTGGAGCTTCGCTTGCCTAGAGATCACCTTTTTTCTATTCCAACTCTAAGTTACAAATCATAGATAAGAAATAGAGAAAAGGAACAACAGATTCTGAATAGTATGTAATTTGTATATACCTTATACATTTATTTAAGCATGTCATGTAATTGATATGAGTTCTCCAAACCGAAATATATTACGCTACACATTTTACTGCCTTCAAACTTCATTACTATATAAGTTATATCTTTGAATTAATGCACGCACACACAAGAATTTACAGGTTTCTTTACAAGAATTACATACACCGTAGCATTAATCCAAAACTAACAAGTAACGATGCATTGATATTCCGACGACAAAAATTCATTTCAGTAAATGTCACGTAACACAAAATTATACTCCTAGTTCAATTTGCATATGTAAAAGTATTCAAAAATGCAAGTGCCACAATCTAATAGTAGTAAAATGAACGATAATACTTCAGAAAGCTGGAAACAGGTATACCTGCACTTAGAAAGGCGAAGCGCAGGGCGACGAAGGCTCAACCGAGAGTAACTAGGGTTAATTGAAGAAGAAGACCTAGAAATTCCAACAGAAACAACATTTTTCGAACTACTATTAAAATCATCCCCAAAATTATTACGAATTTGAAGTTTCGAAACGCCGCCAAGAACAGCAGAAGCTGAAGCCGCCATTGTTAAACCTCCAATACAAAATCACCGTATTATTATCACTAATTTCCACCAAAATTACTCGAAATTCAACACTATCTCGTCAAAATCTCCTCCTTAAGACCTGCAAAATTAAGAACACAATCGAATTAATTCAAGAAAAATCAATCGAATTAATTCAATAAAATCAATTCAATTAATTCTTGAAAAATGAAGAAGTAGAGAGAGAAAGAGAAGTACCGGAGGAGAGAGAAAAGAGATAATGGTGAAGGAGAAGAAGACGTTGAAGACTGGGATAGTTTGAGTAAGTTGTGAAAAAGAATAATACGGAGTAAAACAAATTATAAAATGAGAAAATGAAAATTAATAGAAAGAGATTTTTTTGGTTAACAAAAAAATGGAGAAAAAGAAAAAATGGGAAAATAAAAACGATGAGGCGGTTGTTGTTTTAAGTTCACGTATTTGGCGGTTTCTTAAGCCGTAATGTAAAAATCTCTTACAGAATTGCGTGGCTCTATTTCCATCTTCATTTTCTTTTTTTGGGTTGTAAATAAAGACAAGAATGGAAATAAAAATCCTTTTCCAAACATGATTTGTGGAGTTTCTATATAATTATGTGTGTATAAGGCCCTTTTTTTTGTAGGGGAATATATAAGGCCCTTTTGTGTTCGAATTTTATTTTAATTACAAAAATATTTAATAAACTGAATTTAGTGAATGGATTGTTGAGTAAAAAGATCGGCTAGTTTGAATAATCAACGATTTGGTATCATGAGTGCATTTAGGCGTATAGGGCCTATGTATTTGGCATGCACATAGAAGGACAATTTGTTTTTGGTGGTACATTTTTACTCTCTTAATGGTACGGTGGTACATTTTTGTGTACTATTATGTATATATAAGTTGTCTGAATATTATTTTTTGTGTACTATTATACATGTAGTTGTACTTTTTGCCATCATTTAATCCACCATGTTTACAAAAAAAATGTCATCTTATTTGCATGCCTAACGCACAGAGCCTATGCGCCAACAGTTTTCCACCATATAGGATATTAAGTACTTCACTGAGTTGACTAAAGGTTTGTTCTCTCCAGCTTAATTTCAATTCAATTCAGCTCAAATCAGTTCAATTCCTAATTTCATTCTGTCATAAACAAATCAGTTCAGCTCGGTTCAGTTAAGCTTCAATTAGTTCAGTTCAACTTAGTTTAGTAAATCAGAACATGCCCTAATTAGATCAAACGATGGTTTGCTCAACAATTTGTGATGCAATTGGTTTTCTTATTGAATGCTAACACGCTATGTATGAAAGAGACTAAAAAGCTGTTTTTTTCAGCTTAATTTTAGTTTAGTTTCTAATATCCTGCTTTCATAAACAATTCATTTAAGCTCAATTCATTTTAGTTCAATTCAGCTCCAAATCGGTTTAGTTTAGTTTAGTTCAGTTCAGTAAATCATAACAAACCCTGCATTAATTGCAATAACTTGATATTTTAATCAGAGAGCAACAGATTATGGTGCACCTCATGTTGTTCTCGCGACTCACCATACTCTCTCTTTTAATAGGAAATAGTCCTTGCAACCTACTTTCAATTAATTTAAAGTTTAGAGCACATGGATTTATACGTACAGGAAGTAACACTCCTACTTCTCATACGGAGTATGCTTGGAAAAAGAAATGGACAAGGAGAATTAGGGTCTTTTATCTTCAAATTATTTTCAGTTCAGTTCTTAATGTCTTTCTCTCATACAATATTCAGTTCAATTCAGTCCAGTCAATCAGAACAAACCCTTAAGGGATTAACAAAATATGTGATGTATGGCCTAATTTGCATAAAAAAAAAGTTAGAGTAACTTATAAATAATCGTTACAATTTCAAATTACTAACATGAAAAAAAATCCTTAACTCCCTTTCAAGAAAAAAAAAAACCGGTTCTAAAAAAAATAATGATAATAATAAGAGAATTAAAAATGGGAATATTAATCCCTAAAAAAAAAGTGGGAATATTAGAGTAAAATTAACATTAATTACATCGAATGACACGTGATTTTGTCATGCATTCCTAATTTAATACCATTTCAACAAATATAATTTTTCTTATCTAATGCCCCGGGGCATTCGCTAGCAAGATCCTAACAATAATAATACTCTACAATTTCCTATTTCTTTCCTTGATATACATATATTCCGTGCATTAATACAGGTACATTTCAGTGTAAGAAAATACGGAGTATGATAGCTAAATTATACTAGCAAATAGGATCATAAATTCATAGGTCCAATTGATTATCACCTTCCACGTTTATCTCTCTAATTTGACACGAACAAAATCTAAACATTCCCTCATTTCATTAATCCTTAACCTCTTCCTTTCAAAATTCAAAAACACCATAAATCAAAATCCCCAATTTCAAACCCTAAAACCTGTACAACAAACCCTAAAATCAATGGACAAATCAACGCTAGCCTCCATTGGAGAACGTCTGAAAGCTGGAGGAACTCAAATGGGAAGAACAATTTCCCTAAAAGTGAAGGAAATGAAGGACCTTCTTCAAGCTCCAACTCCAGAATCACGAATCGTCGATCAATCCACTTCTCCGACGCTCGAATCTCCTGATTGGGGACTCAATTTTCGAATTTGCTCGCAAATCAATGCCGAAGAATTGAGCGGCGCTGAAATTGTTAAGGCGATTAAGAAGAAGATCAACAATGGCGGAAATGGTGATGCTAAGGGGTTGAGGTTGGCGTTGGAGCTTCTAGAAGCTTGTGCGATGAACTGTGAGAAGGTTTTCTCGGAAATTGCGTCGGAGAAAGTGGTGGAAGATATGGTGGTTAAGCTGATTGAGAATCCTCAGGCTGATCGAGAATGTCAAGTTAGAGCTATGGAGTTGATTAGGGCTTGGGGTGAGACTGAGGAGTTGAGTTATTTGCCTGTTTTTCGCCAAACTTATGAGGTGATTTGAGCAATTTTTTGCCTTAATTTTGATTAATTTGTTTATCCTTGTTTGATTATATGGTGAGTATTTGAGGGAAATGCGTATTTGTAGGCCATGATTTGTTCATATAATCATATTTTGCCTGCATTGTTTTGATTTTTTGGTGGATGTGTAACTTAGGTTATATTGTTAGATTAACTTCCTTAATTTTGCGTAAAATTTATTTGATTCTTGTTGAAATTACATGCTGTGCACATGTTAGTCTTCGGACATTGGAGATGAGGAGGGATGCGGACCACCTTATCGGGTCGAGGAAGCTTGAGGAGCTATTCCGCCCATTATCAATTGGTTTTGGGATGAAACCTCTTCACGTTCTAATTTTTGGGTAGCCTAGCTGCCAAGGTTCATTTTCATGTTCTCTAACAATATGACAATTTGGTATTTTGATTATGTAGTACGGAGTAAGTATTGTTATAGGCGTGTTATTTCGTTTCAAGACTTAATTTATCTTAACGCTTTGAATCATCCAATTTATGTTAGAACATCTTGGAAGTCTAGTAATAAACTATAAACTTTTGACAGGTGAAACTTTATTTTGACGTCTTAAATAGATTAAGGCTCTAATTGATGATATATATCGTCTGGATGGAGGGAATATTTTGTTTCCAAAAAATATTAGGATTGTTAAGTTGAGTGGATCAGCAATGAAATTGAAATCACACAGTGCCGATTGATGTGATGGGATATCGGTAACTTACTACTTCGTCACATTTGTCACTCTTCAATGTGTCATACAAGTATACAACTATCCTTGAATCTATACTGGAAAATCCACTTAGGTAGTTAAACATAATAATGCTGGCTGTGTCAAGTCACAAATAAAATCACTCTTTATCAAATCTCTAGAAAAGATGTTGTAGCATTGTTAGGATTTTTCGAAATTTATATTGGTCGTAATTGCCATTATGTTCTAATATCTCTGGTGCTTATCTTTGTTGCCTCATCAAATCATATTGACAGAACTTGAAAAGGAGGAGCATGTCTGCTCAGGTGGAAGACGGATCATTTCCGTCTGTGCAGTATTCTTTGGAGTCATACACCGACGAGCATGAAGTCCCACCACCTGAAAGCTATCCAATTCCTGGCTCAGAGTCAAACGGTGCAGCTGATGCTATGCTGCCTTACAACTATGGCAATCTCAGTTCAGAACAAAAGAAGGAGTTTCTAGAAATTACCAAGAATAGCCTTGAAGTGCTTTCCAGTTTGTTGAGCTCTGAAGCAGATCCCAAAGTCATTGAGGTAATGTTTTTTTATAGATCAGGACTCAGCTGCAGGTTTAAGTTTTGAAGTGTTATAACCATTAACCTCTGTGGATTTATAACTGAGTTCAGATAAAAAAAAGTATCTTACCCTACATACTGATAGTTTTTTCATTTTTTTTTAACTGTTCCAAAGCATGTAATTATAGCTTGCTGCACCTCTACATATATGCATATTGTCACAGGATGCATCTTTAGCTCGGGATGATGCATCATGTGAGCGAGCCCTTTTAAACAACTAAAGCGAGCCCTTGAGTTCCACATGGTAATTGATGATTAGGTATAGCTTTGTCTCCCATATATTCATATGATACCAAATTACCAATAATTAAATCCCAATAATAGTATTGCGAGCCCTTCACTTTTAAGGGTGTGGGAAGTAGAGAAAGGGGTCTATAAAAATATAACAGAACAACAGAGGTATCAGCTGTCATTAGTCTGCGGTCTACCTATGCTGTTTTTTAGCTGTCTATTAATATTTCTGTGACCACAAGTGATAAATTGAATTATATAACCCCTTTTATATATCTTAACCAATTTTATATATCTTACCCCAAAAGACGGTACATTTTGTGTTTGTTTGAAAGAGCAAGAGTGCGAGACTTTTAGACATTTTTGCTGATCTGGTCTATTATGTGCTCGCATTACTTCAATATTAATCTGATTCAGCAATGTCATATCTTTTCTACTCGTACTAATCGGTTTGTTTACCTCAGTTTGGTGCGAATAGGTTATGGATAATTTCCTGTACATAAAAGAGCTTTCTTATCTGTAGCCAGTTCCAAATTTATGTGTCCCTCACTTTGTTTTCTATCTTTGCAGCTCAGTAGTTTACATATAAGTGTGTCAATCTGGTAGACGGTTCTGAGTATTTGACTATTGATTGGTTCATTGAAAGTGGAGCTCATTTGTGATATTGCAGGATGACTTGACGATGAACATGTTAGACAAGTGCAAGGATTCACAGCCTGTTCTTCAGAGGATAGTTCAAAGCACCAATGATGATGAAAGCTTGCTGTTTGAGGCTCTGAATCTTAATGATGAACTCCAGAAAATCATTTCAAAATTTGAGGAAATGCAAGTTTCCAGGAATCCTGACATGCAAAATTCTGAAGAGCCAAAGGAATCTCATTCTGTTGAAGCCCAGCCCCCTCCACTGGTAGAAGCCCAGCCCCCTCCACTGGTAGAAGCCCAGCCCCCTCCACTGGTAGAAGCCCACCCCCCTGCACTGGTAGAAGCCCAGCCCCCTGCACTGGTAGTAGCCACAGGCGTGAACAAACCAAAGGAATCCCCTGAAGTAGAGACTGCCAAACCTGCTGCTGCAGATCTTCTCAACGAGGGCGAAGAATCCAGCAACGATAAGAAGTAGGCTTGATGAAGGGGATGTATTTTTTTTTTCCCCTTCCCACTTTCTTTTTCATTCAGTGAGTGATGTATGTATGCTTATGGTCTGTCTTCTTCCAGATGACCATGGTTGCAGTTATTTTAAGGTTTCAGTTATGCATTAATCTTCCCGCAGAGCCGATAGAAAATTTTCTCTATCCTTCAGTATCTAATGCTGTAGGCCTCTGTATATAATGATCTTGGCGGCCTTGCTATGTTTCTCGGACTGTTTATTCGAGTAATAATAGCAGTACCAGATTCAGTGATTTCTTATTTGCTGTACTCTAATTTACGTCTGTTTTAAGGAATTCACTAGGTGAGCTTTGTGATTGCACAAAACAATGCTTATAATTTGAACTGTTTGACTTATAATCTTATCCATCAAAAAAATAAAAATAAAAAAATGGTATCTTTTCTTTGATTGCGAATATCTAGGTATGTACAGAATATCAAAAGTTGGCTGGGATTTGAGTTGTGATTGATAATTTCTACTCGTACTTTTTACTAACATGATAGATTGCACTTGATTATGGATTATATATCTCGAGTAGGAAAGGTTCCATGTGGTAAAGAGTGGTTTTGAAAGTTGTAATCAACTGTTTTTATTCTCGTTAAAACAAATTCAATAGAAGAAGAGTTACTTGAGGGGTAGATTAAAGAAATTTTTAAATGAGTCCTATGAGATTTGATCTCGCATATAAGGTGGAGAGCAATTTACTACTCACAAGTCACAACCGAAGCAAGAACGTCTTTTGGGGGCCTATGCTATTATAGAAAAAGAAAGTCTTATATATATTTTGAAATGCTTATACTACGTAGGGGTGAGCACAACCGGATACCCAGTGAAAAACGAAGGAACTGGTCTTGGAACTGGTTTGTACCAGGTCCTAGATTTTGGAACCAGACCCGGAACCGGTATAACCGGGTCCAGAATATTTAGAACTGGAACTGGAACTGGTGGTAAACGGTTCTAGAACCGGGTACCCGGTTACATATCCAAAGGAAAAATCAGATTTGATCGATAAACAGAAATTATATTTATTTTAAAAAAAAATCAAACCTAAAAGTATTATATGAAAATTGCAGAAAATAAAGATGAAAAAAAGTAGATTTGAGCATTTAGAGAATGTACAGTAGCAAACTCGAGTTGTATTACATAATCATGGCTTTTTCATAAATTTATTAGCCTGAAATCACACAAATCATCCCTAAAACTCAGAATAATAGAGTATGTAAGCTTGATTCATCTTTAATCTTCATCTGTTTTCGGCCTCTTCTTCACCACCTTCATCTTTTACCTCTTTCTATTGTACAAATAAAAATTAAGGATGGAAAAAAGTGGATTTAGATACAAGAATTTGGGAAAAAGATAAGAATGGAGTGATTAATTTAAGTTGGGTGAAATAATCATCAAATTGGAGTTTGATGTTTGACGAATGAAAGTAGAAATTATGAGTGGTTTTTGGTGGGTGATGAAATGAAAAAAACATGAGTTAAAAAAAAAGTACTCCTTAAATATATGGTGACTAATTAGGTTAGAAATAAAGTGTGGGCTAGGAAATTATAAGGCCCAATAGATAATTATGCCCCATATATTCAGAGAAGGCCACGAATAACATATTTTTAAAGCAATGCAACCAGTTCCGGGTATCCGGTGGGTACCGAGTCCGTAAAATCAAGAACTGGAACTGGAACCAGTTATAACTGGTTCCTGATTTTTGGACCCGGACCCGGAACCGGTTGCACCAGTTCCAGTTCTGGACCAGGCGGGTCCTAACCAATTCCGGGTCCAAAACCGGGTACCCAATAATTTTGCTCACCCCTAATACTACGTATGGGAAATCTTCTCTTTCTTCTACCTTCTCCCTTATTATAGGTTGCGACGAGGATGATATATTATGATCAATCGCAAAATATGGTCATATGGGGGCTCATATGGGATTTATCAAGTACAATAAAATCTCGTCCATTCAAACCCTAGCTTTTGGGGTGACTCTTCGTCAAAGTGAAAAAAAGTGATTAACAGATATAAACCCACATTTATAGTTGTAACTTAAGAAACATCTCAACATACTTCGTATTGTTTATACTTTGTATAATTCATCAAATTTCTACGTCTCGAGCATTTATTTTGAAATGAAGGTACCCAATTGTCCAAACGTTATTCAAAGGGAGTTGTTAAACATCGCCCGCAAATCTCCACATAAAGCCCACAAATTAGACATGGTTTGACAATTTTGCCCATTTCTAAAATCGTACCTAAAGTGAACAAATCTCGATCTAACAAATGTGGAGTCGTACTGGGTTCTCCAAGGAGACTGGAGGGGAGGCCGGAGAGGCGAGGGACGCCGGAGATACGTCGTCTTCGACGTAAAACAAGGTGGCGCCTAGTTTGGACGCCGGAACCATGGCAAGGACGTCCAGGCAAGGCGCCACAACCAGTGCACTGGCGTTCAGGCCAGACGCCACAACTAGTGCACTGGCGTCCAGGCCAGGCGCCACCACCAGTGCACTGGCGTTTCTGCCAGACGCCGCCGTTACCGTTTAATTTTTTTTTTTGCCTTTTTTTTTATTTTGTTTTTGTTTTTTTTAAAAAAAAAAAAAAATTGAAAATCCGAAATTCTATTAAAAACATTTTTTTTTTAAAAAAAAAATTATATTTAATAAATTTATGTTTTGAGTTAGGATGTGGAAATTTATGTTTTTTATTTGATTTTATAAAAAATATATATACTAGACTTATAAAAAATAAAACATAAAATTAATAAATATTAAAAAAAAACAAACACATTAAAAAAAAATAGACATAAAACAAAATTATTTAAAAGTAACACAAATTTTCTGATTTTCCAAAAAAAAAAAAAAAAAAAAATTTAAAAAAATATATATATATAAGGCAGGTGGGGCGCCTGGCCAGGACGCCCACCCACTGGCGGTAGCGCCAGATCCGGCAGCCATAGCCAGTGGGCAGGCGCCTGGTTTGGACGCCTCTACCGTTGGCTGGGCTTCCAAGCCACACGCCACGCCACCGGCACTGGCTGTCGGAGCTGGCGCCACCGCCAGTGGGTGGGCGTCCTAGCCAGGCGCCCCACCTTCGCCGCTTATTATTATTATTATTTTTTTTAAATAATTTAAATAATTACCTTGTCACCAAGTCGCCGCCTTTCCTCCGCCGCCGCCGCCACCTCTTTCCCTTGCCGCTTTTAGAGAGATGTAGTGAGTGGTTTTTTTTAAAAACGAAAAGGGCAATAAGGTCATTTCAATACAAATTTGTGGGCTTTATGTGGAGATTTACGGGCAATGTTTAGCGATTCACTATTCAAAAGTCAAAACCTTGACATTTCTTCTCACGGTAAACGATAGGGTTTTCTTTTGACCCAAGTAGCCCAGTACTACTCGTTCTATAAACTAAACTTATTTACTCAGCTGCTTTTCTTCTCACTTCCTCTCTTTAGCCGCCTCCATTATCGTTTTCTCGAGGTTTAATCTGAGAAATTAAGGATGTTGGACATCAATCTGTTTCGAGTAGATAAAGGAGGAAACCCTGAAATCATTCGCGAATCTCAACGTCGTCGTTTCGCAGATGTAGCCATTGTCGACGAGATTATCGCCCTCGATCAAGAATGGCGCCGACGTACTTTCTCTCTCTCCTCTTTTTCATATTTTGTTTATTGAAATGAATCCTTCAATTTTAATTTTCTGGGTTTTTTTTTGCTTTTGATGTTTTTGGGTTGCTTTAGTAATGGATCTCTGTTATTTTTGTGATGATGAAGTTGCGTGGTTAGTAAGCTTGAATTTCTAGGAAAGTTTTGATTTTTATGTGTGTTAAATTGGGGGAGAATGTTAGAATGGTGGTTTGAAGTTGATTTTACATGTAGAAATTGAAAATTTTGGCTATGATTGGGAAAATGTAGTACAATTTATAAATTGATTAACCTAATTGTATGATTGAATTTGCCTATTCTGTTCCTATTTTTGATGAACCCTAGATTCAAAAGATCACCAACGATAATTCTACATTGTTTAGGTGTTTGGGACTTTTGGTCGAAACCCACTTCATTTAGTTGCTTAAATCCTTGAATAAAGAGAATTTGATTCCTTTTTGTAGCATCAATGATATAATCAGTGATAATGATGACTCTTAGTTAAAGATATACTGTATAAAGTTCTTACTTAAGTCCATTAAATATAAATTTGAAGTAAACTTTTGACTTGAGGGTTTAGTGTTGCTACAGATTAGAAATAATATTGTGTTTCGTTTGCAGTATTTTAGTGTTGTGTCTGTAAGTATTCAGGTTTTGAAGTATGTTTTGATCGAAAAGCTCAACTGGACAAAGGAGATAGATTTGGTCACAATGTTGTTTAATTGGTCATTAGTTATTACAGTATGGCGTAGAAGTTTACTAGTTACCTCAGTGGTTCAAATAGTTTTTCATTACCTCAGTGGTCAACTTGATAAATGATTGTTTGTTAGGTCAATTTGAGCTCGAGAGCTTGCGCAAGGACTTCAATAGGATCAACAAAGAGGTGGCACGCCTGAAAATTGTGAGTTGCTGATTGTATACATGATTTGCATGTATTTAAGAATGTTATTTTGTCTTCCGAAATCTTACCAAGGCAATTCTGTGCAGAAAGGTGAGGATGCATCTGAAATGATCAAAAGCACAGACGAGAATAAGAAATCAACTGCAGAGAAAGATGCTGAAGTTCAGGAAGTTAAGGCTGCATTGTATGCTAAATTGGAATTGATTGGGAATCTGATTCACGATTCAGTCCCAGTTAGCAACGATGAGGTATGAATGTATATAGAAATCAAAGTATCTTCTACATTTCTTGGTGATTGGATATAGTGCTTAAGAATTATAAGAAATTACTTCGTTTACATTTTTTGGTGGTTAGATATAGTGCTTAAGAAACATAAGAAATCAGGAAAAAAAAATGCTATTTAATCAGACTTGGTGCCCACAAACTTGCTTGTATGATGATGTAGGCAAACAATGCTGTGATCCGAACATGGGGTGAAAGGCGAATGGAACCAAAGTTGAAAAATCATGTTGACCTTGTTGAGCTTCTTGGGATAGTGGATACGAAGAAAGGTGCTGTATTTCTTGTTTATGAAAGCTTTGTATTTTTTACTCGATCGTTATTTTTAATTCTTCTTTGTTTAATTCCTCACCTCGTTTTTGTGGATACACATTTGTTTAATCCCTCACCTCGTATTATCTCATTTCTGCAAATTCAATGTTCTTCACTACTGATAAAAATAGGAACAGATTCATTGATTGTTTACGGCTCTCTTTCCGTGGCTGCTTGATGGATGATTTTGACTATGAATTCAG